CATGACCTGTTTTTCTTGGCATGATATGGACGTGGTTTTGTATTCCCTTCGTCCAGGATGATTTTGGACTTCCCAGGTTAGTCTCCTATAGCCCTGGACTTTGAAGATGGTCCTGCATCCAAGTATCCAGGATTAACCCACCTTTGCTTTTACAATCAGACCCGGTCAACCATTGCTCCCATCTGCTGATACTGTTAAAAGAATAATTTGGCCCTCAGAGATATCCATGATACTTTTGGAAAGATGCCGAACATTATTTTGGAAGGATTTTCAGATGATTTATGGGACAGTTTCAACAAAGCTGGAGAATATTTGCAATTCTGTAGTGCCAAAATCTTTCTGGGAATCAGTGTCAAGTTTGTCAATACCTCCAGACCTCCATTCTTCACCACCACTATGGGATAGATAGATAGATAGATAGATAGATAGATAGATAGATAGATAGATAGATAGATAGATAGATAGATAATTGGATTGAAAGGAGGTCACAGGAGAAGAAGCTGTATGCTGAAGACATGCATTCGCTCATCTTGAAACACAAGGGAACATTACAGGAATTTGAAATTGGATGACACAAGGGCAAAACAGTAAGAAGGAGTGTAGAAACAGAACCAAAACTTCTGATGTCACCAGAAGAACTGTCCTGTCTGGTGTCATAAGATACACATGAACCCAGACAGAACTTCAGTAACACTGTCATGGCCACCATCTTGACTTTTTCTATCATGCCCTGTGGACACCCCCACTGCAAATTCTAATAAAGTGAAGAAGGTGCTCTCCAGCAGGACCTTTGTCACCCATGGACTCCTTCAGGTTGCTCAAGAGGAGTATGATGGCCTATGTCCAGCAAGGTCAATGTTTCTTTGAGAGGGCAAGATGCTGCCTCTCTGGAAGGAGATGGTGGTACGTCTCTTTTCTGAGATGCTTTCCTTTGACTTGGCAGTTCTGGATAATAATCACAGGACTCCAACCTTATCTTTTAGGGAAGTTATTGAGAAACTGGTGTGGGGATGCTTCAGAATCCCTTTGTAGAAGCAAAGAAAGTGTGTGTGTGTGTGTGTGTACACCAGTGTTTCTCAACCTCGACCACTTTACGATGCATGGACTTCAACTCCCAGAATTCCCCAGCCAGCATGG